TTTTTGCACTCAGGTTTAAGTCTCATGGCCCTCTATCAGAATGCAGAGTTTTGAGAAGATTGGAGAAACGTAATTTTTCGCCCGAAAAAAAAAACGAAAGGGGTACCACTGTCGTTTTTTTTTTCGGGTCGAATTTTTGAGTTTCGATTTCTCAGCTCTAGAAGGGTCTAGAGCCTCCATTTTTGCACTCAGGTCTAAGTCTCATGGCCCTCTATCAGAATGCAGAGTTTTGAGAAGATTGGAGAAACGTAATTTTTCGCCCGAAAAAAAAAACGAAAGGGGTACCACTGATATATTTAGATATTTATAATGGCATAAATGCTACGTGGAATCTCAATATCTCAGCTCTGGAAGGGTCTAGAGCCTCAATTTTGCACTCAGGTTTAAGTTTAATGGCCCTCCATCAGAATCCAGAGTTTCAAGAAGATCAGAGCAACTCAAAATTTTGACCCGAAAAAAAAACGACAGCGTTGGTCTTTAATCAAGGAGACCTCAGTTCAAGTTCCATTCTTGCTTACGTTAAATTGTTGTGATTATATCAAACAAAGTGGCCAAAATTGTTGTGAAACAAAGTGGCCAAAATAACTATTCTCCAACCTGGTATCACGGTTTAACCCCCTCAAATGTGAAACTTACACTTAAACTGAAACTTAAACTTACCATAACGGCTTATTGGTTTTCATTAAACAGAGAATAGTAGGATTTTGTTTCATTGACGATCACTGAGAAATGGTACTGTATTATTTAAAATGCAAAAAAGACATTTATTATTTTCAAGGTGATTCATTTGCCTTGATCCACGCCGAAAAAAACGTCTAAATGTCACGTTTTTAATGAAGCAGCCTAAATTGTCCACTTTGCAAAACATGTGAGTAGATGTCACGGTTTAACCCCCTCAAACGCGAAACTTACACTTTTGCATTAACACGCTGAGTGGAGAGAGACCCGGACGTAATCGCCTCTGCCATAACAACCTTTTTTCATTAAACCGAGAAAAATTGAATTTTGTTTTATTTACGAGAAATGTTCTATTATTTAAAATGCAAAAAAAACATTTATTATTTAAGGATTCATTTTATCCACACTGAAAAAAACGTCTAAAATGTCACTTTTTAATGAAGCTGCCTAATGAGTAAAATGTCTGTTTTTCCGGCGTCCCCCAGCTCCTCGTTTAAGCAAAAGGTACTAGCTAAAACAACGTATTACATCGACGTTAAACCTAACCGTGTTAACCATAACCTTTTAAATACTCGACCTAGTTCCGTTGCTTAGCAACAGGAAGAAACTCCTGTAACTTCAGTGCCCAATCCCGACAAGACGTGAAATAATCACGTTGGTCCACTTTGGAAAACGTGTAGATGTCACGGTTTAACTGTTAGTGATATTTTAAACAAAAACAAAAAAAAAACATAAAGAGGGCTGTACTGCCCTCTTGTGTCAAATAATATTTCTATATTTATTTTTCCAGCGTGGGCTTTAACACACTCCAGTGGAGAGAGACCCGAAGTTGAACATGACATCACTGTAGCCTACTAAAATGGCCCCCACAGTCCCAGATCTCAACCTATATAGAGCATCTTTGGGATGTGGTGGAACGGGAGCTTTGTGTCCTGGATGTGCATCCCACAAATCTCCATCAACTGCAAGATGCTATCCTATCAATATGGGCCAAGATTTCAAAAGAATGCTTGCAGAACCTTTTTGAATCAATGCCATGTAGAATTAATGCAGTTCTGAAAGCGAAAGGGGGTCAAACAATTAGTGTGTTCCTAATAATCCTTTAGGTGAGTGGGTATCGGTATACGTGTATATATATATATATATTTATATATATATATATACACTCACCGGCCACTTTATTAGGTACACCTGTCCAACTGCTCGTTAACACTTACTTTCTAAGCAGCCTGGCGGCAACTCAGTGCATTTAGGTATGTAGACATGGTCAAGACAATCTCCTGCAGTTCAAACCGAGCATCAGTATGGGGAAGAAAGGTGATTTGAGTGACTTTGAACGTGGCATGATTGTTGGTGCCAGAAGGGCTGGTCTGAGTATTTCAGAAACTGCTAATCTACTGGGATTTTCACGCACAACCATCTCTAGGGTTTACAGAGAATGGTCCGAAAAAGAAAAAACATCCAGTGAGCGGCAGTTCTGTGGGCGGAAATGCCTTGTTGATGCCAGAATGGGTAGATACACACAGCTGCCTCTGGTTCGAGCTGATAGAAGGGCAACAGTGACTCAAATAACCACCCGTTACAACCAAGGTGGGCAGAAGAGAATCTTTGAACGCACAGCACGTCGAACTTTGAGGCAGATGGGCTACAGCAGCAGAAGACCACACCGGGTGCCACTCCTTTCAGCTAAGAACAGGAAACTGAGGCTACAATTTGCACAAGCTCATCGAAATTGGACAATAGAAGATTGGAAAAACGTTGCCTGGTCTGATGAGTCTCGATTTCTGCTGCGACATTCGGATGGTAGGGTCAGAATTTGGCGTCTACAACATGAAAGCATGGATCCATCCTGCCTTGTATCAACGGTTCAGGCTGGTGGTGGTGGTGTCATGGTGTGGGGAATATTTTCTTGGCACTCTTTGGGCCCCTTGGTACCAATTGAGCATCGTTGCAACGCCACAGCCTACCTGAGTATTGTTGCTGACCATGTCCATCCTTTATGACCACAATGTACCCAACTTCTGATGGCTACTTTCAGCAGGATAATGCGCCATGTCATAAAGCTGGAATCATCTCAGACTGGTTTCTTGAACATGACAATGAGTTCGCTGTACTCAAATGGCCTCCACAGTCACCAGATCTCAATCCAATAGAGCATCTTTGGGATGTGGTGGAACGGGAGATTCGCATCATGGATGTGCAGCCGACAAATCTGCGGCAACTGTGTGATGCCATCATGTCAATATGGACCAAACTCCCTGAGGAATGCTTCCAGCACCTTGTTGAATCTATGCCACGAAGAATTGAGGCAGTTCTGAAGGCAAAAGGGGGTCCAACCCGTTACTAGCATGGGGTACCTAATAAAGTGGCCGGTGAGTGTATGCACACTCACAATGACAACAGTTATTTAAAGTGTAACAGGCCTAATATTTCGACATATTTATGTTTTCGATTAAATAGTAATTACAGTGAGCATAGGAGACAAAAACAAATAGTGTACACAAGGTGTACACTGAAACAAAACAATCGCACAATTTTTTAGTGTTTAGATAGCACAAGGGTATTTGATGTCCTATTTACATCTGGAAGACGTATTTTTAAGTGTTTGCTCATCTGCAAGACGTCTATAGGACGTTTCCTGACAGATGTCAAATAGATGTTTATAAGATGTCAGTTTAACATGCATTCTAAATCATTACATCTTAGAGACGTCTTGCAGATGAGCAAACACTCTTTAAAATACGTCTTCCAGATGTAAATATGAGATCAAACAGCCTTGTGATATCTGCGCCTCTAATTATGAACCGGTGTCATTTATCTACCACAGAATTGTATGTTCCGCTTCTATGGCGACAGCGAGTTCGCTTTCTGTATCGCATGAACTGGAAAACAAGCACAAAACCAGCATGTAAACAAGTATGCATTTCTGTTTTAGAGAAACATTAACTTAGTGCTAACGTACAACGGCTTATACAAAGACCGACAACATATGTTCCAGCAGGGTATAGCCTACCATCAACTCATCCAAAATTAAGACACTCATAGAGGCCTATCCAACACCAAAGATAGGCTCATGTTCTGCCATTACAAGGCTACCATTAAAAAAAAAGAAAATTCTGACACAACCAGTTAGTCCTACAGGGAAATTCAGCATAAAAGACAGTCATTTAGATTTGGATATTTTACTAAAGCAATTGATAAATTTATCGAATTTGTTTTTATTTCACACTAACATAATTTCTTTTGAATGAGAAAACATCATGCACAAATGTCAGTTACTTTATGATGCATGTCACCCTCTGCTGTATGACAAGAGATTCCATATTATATTCAGTATAATCTTATTTCTTAATAAGTAAGATTTTTGCAATCTGTCTCTAAATTGCAGACCTACATATGAGAAATATACTGTTTCATTGCCTCAAATTCCTGAAAGACGATAATCTGCCAAGTGTTTTGTTTCTCCAGAACAGAGGGGCCTTGATGAGCTATTTCACAACCTTGGCAGAGTGAAGGTTTGTGACGTTTTCTGTTTCTCTGTCATAGTTTAAACCCAGAGAGATATGATGGCTCCTAAGAGGGGCATGACCTGGACATCATGAGAGCCACTTCAGTCAGAGAGATAAAATACAACTGGACATGTAATGAATTATCTAATAATGAAAATGATCTGTCCTTTCCTCTGATTTTGGGGTGAAATGTGACCTGAACATCCCAAAATCTTTATTTTTTTACTTCAGACAAAAACAAATGAATTATGCAAATTAATAACTAATAATTGGTAATTGTAAGAACTGTTTAGATAGAAAATTTAATGTGTTTTCGTTTTGTTCTGCTCATGAAACACTGGAAAAATATCTTTCCAAGAAATTTTAGTTGTCAGGGTAATAGACCTTATTCAGGGCAGCGCCATGACAGGTATGAAAGTGAGGCTGTGAGGTACAGACTTGCCGTGTTTCCAACGGCATCCGCTGTAAAAAGCTGAATAAAGCTCCAAGATTACTTACAATTTTCCACAGCTTATATTGTCGGGAGTTTTATGACAACTAAAATTTCTTGGAAAGATATTTTTCCAGTGTTTCATGAGCAGAACAAAACGAAAACACATTAAATAACAGTACAGCCCATTGAAGCGATGCATGTCTAGCCCTCACAGCCTTGCTTTCATTCTCATTAAAAATCAAAGATGGCGCTGTAACCAATAATAGTTTATGGTGTAATTCATAACCATCATCAGACAAGGAACGAATCATGTGATGTTAAGGAGCACTTATAAAGTACATTTTGTTATATTATAAATGCTGCACATAAAACTGGACAGATTTAATTACAAATGAAGGTACCTTTTATTGCAAACATTTGTGGACTTTGGCACCTGCAAGGCACAGAATACACTTTCATGAGAGAACAGAGTCGAATGGGTCTACAGAGTCAAATGGCTTTCACATAGGAAATTCCTTTCACAGAAAGGACAAAGTTTAGCTGCAAACATAAAGGGTAAACAATACATGGAGTCCACATGTGATCGGCTGTTATCTGCAAGTAGAACCGATGCAAGTTTTCAGTCACCATGAAATCCCACAGCAACCAAAATTATTAGAAAGTTTGGCTCTCTCAGATTCACCACTGCTTTTCACAGGGGAAGGAGAGATGAATGTGAAGACAGGTCAGGGCATCTATATTTACTGTACTCGTGTTCAGCAGAACGCACAGAAGTCATGACACCAAGACCCACATGCGCATGAGCTTTTAAGTGCTGTTCATTCAAAGCATTTCATACCACCCATGCAAAGAGGAGCTTTTAACTAGAAGTGGGTTTCCATATCTAAATGCACTGATCTATGCAAATTCTTCATGTTTAGTGTCTTCCTCCCCTACCGTTCAAACACACACTCTCTTTCTTGTTCAGATGGAAGATGGATATAAAGTTTGTAATACTGTCTCCCGTTAACAGCTTAATACTGACAGGCAACACACCATTAAAACACACAGCAGTCATTCTTTATAAAACTATATAATAAAGACAAACTTCCAGTTAGACAAATAAACAGTCAACAGACAGATAAAGAAAATGGGAACCTCCAAAGGAAGGTCTATGGAAGACTTGACCCGATCAGCATCAGTATCAGCTGTGTGCAAACGTCTCTGAATCAAAAAAATCCCATCAGTCATTTATCCTGCGGGGCGGCACACCCCGGCACTGGGCCCTCTGATTATGATGCTCACATGATTGCGGTGGCCACAATCCCAAAAAGTTCATTAGCTTTAGTGTTATTCTGGGAGACAAGACTGGGGCGTTTCCTTAGAAATGAGGGTGGAAGTAAACAGGAGTGCAGAAACTTTCGTTTTTTTTGTTCTGAGAACCTGCATAGTGGATTCAAGGCACAGAGGGTTTATTTATTTAGGGCAACAACACACACATATGTGAGCCATAAACACATTTTTGGATACTTTGGTAAGGCAGCTTTTTCTAGAGTTTAGTATTTTGGCATTAGGATGGTACAGATTCTCTTGCTTGTTTTGAATACACGTGCAAACATGTGTACTAACTGACCTTAAATGGATAGTTCACCCAAAAATGAAAAATTCTGTCATCATTTACTCACCATAATGTCATTCTAGACCACCTGTATGGTTTTTTTTCTTATGTGGAACACAAAAGAGACATTTAACAGATTGTTTACGCTGCTCTTTTCCATAGAACAAAATTAAATTGTACACAGGGCTGTCAAACTCCTACAAATATGGCAAAAGTACTACCAACAATTCATAAAAGGTCTATAGCACACAAGACTACTTTTATGATGCTTTTCCATTCTTGTTCATTGTAACAGCATGGTAAAAAGGCAACCAACAGATTCATCCGAATGTCTCCTTTTGTGTTCCACAGAGGAAAGAACGCCAACTTTGTAACAAAGTGAGAGTAAGAAACTAATCACTTAATTTCTGTTTTCCCTTCAATAACATCCTGTAATCCGTCATTTGTTCTGGGGCTCTTTTCAATGCTCTCTGCGTTACACCACGAACTCTGGTTCTGCTTCAGTGGTCATGTGGTCTGTGGTCAGATCCTCTCTGTCCAGATCCAGAGAGAAATACTTGCTGGTTCTCTTGATGGGAAACGTGTGCTGGTTATTCCGGATCCCGGCACACTGATCTGCAAGTCCCTGGTACCCACAGCTGACCGGGTCCCCGAGGTCTGGCTCGCATCCGAACGTATAGCTATGTGCGGTGTCCTGGCAAAGCTCCGCCCACTCCTGACAGTTCCTCTGAAACAGACGAACGTCGTCAAGCGATTGGCTGTGGCGGTCTGTGGAGCTCTGGCCCTTCCTGCCCATCGCCGTCTAATTAAACAAAGACAACAAAACCCACGTCAGCACGCAGGAAACCAACAAGCCGCCTTAAAACACAGAAATCGCAGACTACACTAACTCTCAACTAACCCTAAAATCTCAGAGAGCGGTTAGCTGTACACTCACATGAATTCACAGATGAGAAACGACAATGCTGTTGTTTGGTGTAGGGTAAGGCTGCCCTAAACAAATACTGTTAAGAGGAGCACTGTTAAAAGAGATTACAGAATTACTCAACAGAAGAATGATACAGCTCAAAATGCAGAGTTGACGTCCTCGGGTTAACTTCAGTGGTGGAGAGCTTGACACAGTGCCGTTCAACAGTGGTTAAGCATTGAGTGTTTGTGTGTGTGTGTGTGTGTGTGTAGTTGCACCTGAGGGAGACATTCGATGCTCTGGCCTCTCATTCTCACTATGGTCTCCGATGAGCTGGATGTGGAAGAACCGACTTCCTTCACCACTAACCCTGAAAAGCACAAACACATACAACATACATCAACATAATCATTCTCTCTCATTCCATCATTTGAAGTTTTAGTAAGTTTTGAAGTTTAGAAGCAAAATTAATAGCTAATAAAACTGCCTTCAAGCCTTTCTCAATTAAGTTTAACACTGCTTGAATTTGGATTCTCACACTTTTTGACCAGTGATTTCCTTTGCACTGTAAAAGTTGGAATTTATCACTGTCCAAAGACTTTTCCAGGTCTGGGAATCGTCATTTAAAAGTGTCCTACATACCGCCATGCCCTTCATTCCCCCTGGGAACTTTGGCACTGAAAGGTCATACATCGACAAGCTACAGCTAATGCTGTAGAGATGACACAGCTTGTATTTACACACCTGTCAGCAACAGGTGTGGTCGTTACACCTGAACCCACTAATTAAAAGGAGTGTACTGTATTCTATTCTTGGCACTGTGGGTAAATCTCACAAAAACACATCCAGGTCACGTTTCACCCATCAAAAATGCTTTTAGGACAATCGCATTGTTTTGCATTGCGATCATTTGCATCATGGTGTGTGTTTGTGTATGGATATATATAGGGTAGAACAGGGCTAAAGGCACCGTGGGGGAAAAGGCACCTTTGATTTTATTTTCCTCTAAACCACTAGATGGCATAAAAACATACCGCAGCACTTTCCAAAACATCCGCTTTTCAAGATGCACATGGAAATTTGTCTGATCTTTGACCCGATGACGGGCAGTTGATTCTGTGCTAATTTGATCTTGTATTTGATGTTTTTTTTAAATGTTGTAGATTTTAGGAGCAAATGAGAATCGATAAAATTTGTATTTTGAGACAAAGGTCGACTAAATGGTTTTCAGTTTTGTTCTAGATAATATAAATAAAATGGAAGAATATGTAAAAGAATGGTATTTGCATCTGCTGTCAGGGCGAAAGGCACAATAATTAACATGAGAAATATCTGGCTGACTTTTCCATTTGTTGATATGTCATGGTTTTTTATATGACATGGTATATATATATATATATATCATATGATAAAATTTAAAAAAGAATAATTTATTGTATACAGTATATCTGACAGTATATTTTTTGAAAAACATTTTTTTATTCATCAAAATAAACAGAAGACTGGCTTAACTTGGCTAAAGTAGTAGTTTTGAACAAGTTTTAGCTTATTAAAAATTAGACATTATTTTAGCTTAAGTATTTGTATAAATACCGTGTGCCTTTTGGCCCGTACTGGTGAGCATTTTGCCACGTGTGTGGAGTAAAATGCCCACCTTGCCACCTCATATATTTATACGATTTTTAAACAAATAAACCACTTTTATGACTTATTTTCACACACAATCTATTGTTCATCAATGTTAAATACAAACATTTTTTTTTTTTCTGCATTATACTGTGTGTGTATATATATATTAAAAAAATGCAGAAAAAAAAATAAATATATATATTATTTTTTTTCTGCATTATATATATATATATTACTCAACATTTGAAGTGGATCAAAACCTTTCATCAAAGTTATACATTAATTTTGAACAATACTCGTTATTGTCTTAGATCAACTTTGATCAACTTTTTTGATCCACTTTAAACCTGACTACTTTATACACTTTATATGCACATTTGATCAAAATTACAATATTACCAGTAATATAGTGATTTCAATTGAATTTAAAATAACCTTTTCTATTTCAATGTTTTAAAATGTAATTTATTCCGATGATATCAAAGTTGAATTTTCAGCATCGGCCTTCAGTGTTCCATGATCCTTCAGAAATCATTCTAATATTCTGATTTGATAATAAGAAGGAATGTTTCTTGAGCACCAGTGTTAAAAACAGTTGAGCTGCTTAATATGTTAGTGGAAATGGATAATTCTTTTGATTAATAGAAAGTTCAAAAGAGACGGCGTTTATTTAAAACAATAGTTTAACAATGTCAGATTATTAACGATCACTTAATGTATAAAGCCGAAACTATTAACATAAGATAACCTGCATGCATACCGGAGCATCCGTTGTTCTGTGCTGACAGCATGTCCTCAGTAATGTGGATACACAGTTCCTGGCTGAGTTCTAAATCATGTAGATCTTCACACGTTTTTGGATCATCAACCAGCATCTCAATCTCTTAAGGAAAACACAAACAAAGACATGATCAATGCAGCCATTTAATCATACAGCATTTATTATTGATACCGTTATTACTAATGTAATGAGTCTTTGAGCTGCAATTAACTGGGAGGAAAGCATCACATTTAACTGTCTCCTACCGTCTTCATCCAGGCAGTGCTCCTTGCTGCTGCTCTCGATGCCAGACGTGTGTGTGCTGGCATGACTGGCGTTGGAAGACGAGTGTGTTCTCAGCGGTCGGTGGGGTGTGTTTGTAGGGGTTCGGAAACTGTCGGTGTCGACGCCGGATGTGCGGGAGCTGCCATGACTTGTGGTGGAGTGTCGTGAGAAGGGATTGGGTCGTGACGTGCTGCCAGCACTGCTGCCGCTGGCACGTGAACGCTGCTCCAAATGATCCATGTCCGCCTCCAGAGCATCACTGATATACGACTCCCTGTACTGCTTCTTTTCTGAGAACACACAGGTTAACAATGTCAACCATATACTCCAGGACCTTTGTAAAACAATAATAATTTCATGACAAAAAAAAATTCATGCTGCTGAGAATGACTTTCAATATTCATTATCTTGTGTCACGTGTGTAAAGTCAGTTAATTGCAGTGTTATTTAATTGTATTAATATTTTGAATTCGCATTTATTGTTGTATTTTTAGTTTTCATGATCATTTTATTTTTAGCTATTTGGTTGTGTCATTTTTATTTATTTATATATAAATATTTTATTTCAGTTTTAGCTTTTAAATTGTACTTTATTTCCAGTTAATCATCAACTTAAAGGGATAGTTCACCCAAAAATGAAAATTCTGTCAGTATTTACTCACCCTCATGTTGTTCAAACCCTGTAAGACCTTCGTTCATCTTCGCAAAACAAATTAAGATATTTTTGATGAAATCTGAGAGCTGGATCACTCCTCCATAGTAGTCCAAAGGCTTCTTGAGAGATTGAAACTTGCCGGCTTTGAAAAATTATTAAAGACATCGTTAAAATAGTCCAAGTGACTACGGTGGCTCAATCTTAACTTTATCAAACGACGAGAACACTTTTTGTGCGCAAACCCCCCCCCCCAAAAAAAATAACGACTATATTTCAAATATTCATTTCCGTCGCTCTGTGCCTCGAGTCAGGTTACTAGTTCAACAGCATATGATCTGTTGTTGTACATCACAAGCATCACACACATGACCAGCGTCGGCCAATAGTGAGCCTACGTGTGACGTAGCTCTACGCTATCCCACTACGCTAACTGACTAGAGGCGCAAAGAGAAGGAAGTGAATAGTTGAAATAAAGTCGTTATTTTTGTTTGTTTTTGCGCACAAAAAGTGTTCTCGTCGTTTGATAAAGTTAAGATTGAGCCACTGTAGTCACTTGGACTATTTTAACGATGTGTTTAATAACTTTGAGGCCGGAAAGTTTCAATTCCTCATGAAGCCTATGGACTAGTATGGAGGAGTGATCCAGCTCTCAGAATTCATCAAAAATATCTTAATTTGTGTTGCGAAGATGAACGAAGGTCTTACAGGGTTGTAACAACATGAGGGTGAGTAAATACTGACAGAATTTTCATTTTTGGGTGAACTATACCTTTCATTTAAAAATTTTGTTTACTTAAAATTTTTCAACTAGATCAATTACATTTTATTTTATATTTACAGTATATGCTAATAAATTATGGTTGCCTTATCTGTCTGTATAACAGATTTCATGTGCATTCCAAATATTAACATAAGAAATATTACTGTTACTGTATTGTGCATATTTGCAAGATACCTTCATTTTCCTCTAGTCGCCGAACTTGTTTCAGCACAGGCTGTAGGTTCATATACAATCTGTGGCTGTTGCTGAGCAGCTGCAGGAGGTGTCGTGAACGCAGAGGACAGCCTGTGTAGTAGATGAGCTTCCTGGCTGAAGGCAAACCATCGGGAAGAATCTCAAACCTCTTCCCCTGTGGAAAGGAAACGAGTCAAAGGTTGATTCATCTGAAATGTGCACTTGACCTTTAAATCCTACTAATAAAGTACTGTAATACTGACCACAAACACCAGTTTTCCCACATTGGTCCAGGGAAAATCATATAAGAGTTGCCTGACAGTTCCCACATTCTTACAAAAAAAAAATTGAAACCATCACAACATAGAAATGCACAATATTTATATATTCGAAAAGAGCAGTATTTTATTCAGTTTGCTGTGCAATCTCACCGAGTAAGTGTTCAAACAGCATACCTGGAAAATCTGAATCCCACGTAAGGTCAGTCCCAGTGATAGAGAGGCCTCTAACTCTTTCTTATCCTGACAGAAAGAACATTTTTCATTATGTTCAAAATCACACTGCATGTGCACTTACACAAACTGTCAATAATTCTTCTCTGACCTTGTAAAGGCGATAATAATGAACAGTCACGTCGTCCAAGAGCGCTGCTTCCTTTATGTACTTCAGCTGGGCCTCTGATGCTGTAAGGGCAAACTGTTCTTTGTGCATGTTTGGAATATGACGGAGAATATAGTCACATCCTCGCTTAGAAATTACCTAGAAAAGAGAAAACCAAAAATAATATAGAAATATTTATTATTAAAAAATAATAAAGCCGCCTTTTGACTGATAAATTTACCGGTACGTGACTTTCCCGGTATGGTTGATCACTGCATTTAGATTTTTTTAATAGAGATTGCAGTATTTTTGATCTGATCAAAATAATAATAATAATAAAAAAGTATATTAACTAAAGAATTATTATTTTAGTTTATTAGTTATTATTAGTCTATTAGTTTTCCATGACTTTGTATTTTAATATTATGGAAATTAAAATCTTATCATTTAAAAAAAAAAAATAGTTACTTGCCATTGGTTCAGTAAAAAATCAATTTTGTAATGTTCCTAACAAAGTTAATCAAACCAAATGATATTCTGACTCTGACATAAATCGCATAATATTAAAGAAATGTAATACTTACACCAAAAAACCTAGATGTCAAATTGTTTTTTTAAGCAGTTTAACAAAGAAAGTTAGCCTAACCTTACCAACAGCATCCCATAAGGAATTATTTTCTATTTTCTAACCAAAATATATTTGAAATATATACTAAATGTGTTGTAACAGTGCAGCTCACTGTGCAGTAAATATATTTAGTTTCAACCTTCATAAACCAAAATATATTTCAAAATGTATTTGAGGGGCAAGAATACATTTCTAATCTTACAATAGCCTATATTTATGCTAAATGCAAATGTAGATGGAATAGCCTACTAGAGATCAAAACGATCAAAAAAGATTTCTAATTTAATAATGAAAAAAAAGCAATATATTGTATATATACACATATTAAATCATTAGAATTTGTACAAATATATGCAGATATAATCCTAGTTGTCAGGCTTGGCTACAGTGATGTCCCTGAACACGAATGAATATCCTCAGCAGTGCTGTCAGCAGTCTCTGTGATCTGCACAGCCTATCTCTGACTGCACCATCCTGCAGAGAAGGAGCGCCTCACACCATGTGTGTCCAGATAATAGCACAGCTCAGCAAGCCTGAAGCTAACGCACCAAAGATTCTGTCTAAAAGCGTTCAACTATTTTTAACATCAATCCCCTACATGCACTGATAAATAAAACATTTTTTTGTTGTTTTTTTTGTTGTCGTCTTTACAAAAAGCTCTATTCAATGTTGCTGAATATTTAGGGACAACACAGTGCAGCCCATAAACCACACACAGAGGGCGGTCGGCGCAAACACACGTTTAACAAGCTTGATCAGCATAATGATTCATCAGGAAGTAGTTTAATGGGGTGCTGTGCAGACTTACCCAGGAGGGGAAATAAGCTTCTGGCTGAAAATAGGCACCAAAGTGTTTGTTCCGTTTGAAGTTTCCCAGGTCAGCCTGCAGCGCAAATGCAGCCAGAAGGAAATAAGCCTCTTCTCTCTGGATGCACTGAGACTGCAGTACCTGCTTCCGCAATTGCCAGTAGTAATAATACCGTGCCATGCGATCGCTAAAACAGATATAGAACGCATATAGAACACATTCAGTCATTTTTCAAATTGTAATTTTGAATGTATACACTACCGTTTAAAAGTTTGGGGTCAGTGTGATTTATGCTTTTGAAAGAAGTCTTTTATGTTCACCAAGGCTCCATTTATTTGACCAAAAATACAGTAAGCATTACAATACATTTTTTATTTAAATTGTAATATATTATAAAATGTCATTTATTACTGTGATGGTAAAGCTGAATTTTCAGCATCATTATTCCAATCATCAGTGTCACATGATCCCTCAGAAATCATTCTAAATTCCTGATTTGGTGCTTAAAAACATTTCTTAATATCATCAATGTTGTAATATTTTTGTGGAAACCTTCATACTTTTTCCCAGAATTCTTTGATGAATAGGGCTGTCAAACGATTAATCGCGATTAATCGCATCCAAAATAAATAATTGTGTTTACATAATATATGTGGGTGCACTGTATAATTATTTTATATATATATATATATATATATATATATATATAAATACACACACATGCTTGTATATATTTAATAAATATTTTCATGTATATACTGTATGTAGATTTATATATAATTTATATTATATAGAAATATAAATATTTTATATATAAATAATATTTTTTTCTTAAATATTCATGCAAGTGTGTATTTTTATACAGTATATACAAAATAATTATACACAGTGTACCCACATATATTATGTAAACACAAACTTTTATTTTGGATGCAATTGATCGCGATTAATCGTTTGACAGCCCGATTGATAAATTGAAAGTTTAAAAGAATATATTTTATTTCTTTTGTAACAATGTATTTGCTGTCACTTTGGATCAATGAAATGCATTCTTGCTGAATAAGAGTACTAAAGGAATCTTACTGACCCCAAGCATTTGAACAGTAGTGTAGATGTGTAGATGTCTCACCTGATAAGTCTTCCATTTTCAACATAATACTGTGCTCTGAAGTGAACAATCATTGGAGGTCCAAACTGGTCAATTCCCTGCAGTTGGTAAGAACTCTGTCAAAGTGTGCAACAACAACAAAAAATTTCTCCTAAGAACATCAAACTCTGTTTGCATGATACCTTGCTGGCTTCCCGTTTCCACTCTTTTGGACAATATTTTGACAGTTTCTGTCCCAGTTCCATATATATATGTTCATTATCTAGGAGAAAAAGCACACTTAAAATACACAGAAATGCACACGCATTTAAGACTTTAATGTTTGTGTATATATGTACTGGATACTGTGGGAAAATAACAAACATCCAGTAATTAACTACAACAAAATAAACCATGACAGGGTGATTGAGACCCCAATGCAAAGTAAAATAAAAAAAAAATGCAATAAAACTGGCAAACCATATATTATGCCAGAAATTTCAAAAATAAAGGAATAAATGGACAAAAAATTTGAGTATTTGATATTTATAGATATATATATTTATAGATATATTATATATATTTATACAAACCCAATTCCATAAAAGTTGGGACACTGTACAAATTGTGAATAAAAACAGAATGCAATGATGTGGAAGTTTCAAATTTTAGTATTATATTTAGAATACAACATAGATCACATATCAAATGTTGAAAGTGAGACATGTTGAATTGCCATGCCAAATATTGGCTCCTTTTGGATTTCATGAGAGGTACAAATTCCAAAAAAGTTGGGACAGGTAGCAATAAGAGGCCAGAAAAGTTAAATGTACATATAAGGAACACCTGGAGGACCAATTTACAACTTATTAGGTCAATTGGCAACATGATTGGGTATAAAAAGAGCCTCTCAGAGTGGCAGTGTCTCTCAGAAGTCAAGATGGGCAGAGGATCACCAATTCCCCCAATGCTGAGGCAAAAAATAGTGGAGGAATATCAGAAAGGAGTTTCTCAGAGAAAAATTGCAAAGAGTTTGAAGTTATCATCATCAACAGTGCATAATATCATCCAAAGATTCAGAGAATCTGGAACAATCTCTGTGCATAAGGGTCAAGGCCGGAAAACCATACTGAATGCCCGTGATCTTCGGGCCCTTAGACGGCACTGCATCACACACAGGAATGCTACTGTAATGGAAATCACAACATGGGCTCAAGAATACTTCCAGAAACCATTATCAGTGAACACAATCCACTGTGCCATTCACCGTTGCCGGCTAAAACTCTATAGGTCAAAAAAGAAGCCATATCTAAACGGGAACCAGAAGCACAGGCGTTTTCTCTGGGCCAAGGCTCATTTAAAGTGGACTCTAGCAAAGTGGAAAACTGTTCTGTGGTCAGACGAATCAAAATTTGAAGTTCTTTTTGGAAAACTGGGACGCCATGTCATCCGGACTAAAGTCCGGACTCAGTTCAGAAGCCTGCATCTCTGATGGTATGGGGTTGCATAAGTGCGTGTGGCATGGGCAGCTTACACATCTGGAAAGGCACCATCAATGCTGAAAGGTATATCCAAGTTCTAGAACAACATATGCTCCCATCCAGACATCGTCTCTTTCAGGGAAGACCTTGTATTTTCCAACAAGACAATGCCAAACCACATACTGCATCAATTACAACATCATGGCTGCGTAGAAGAAGGATCCGGGTACTGAAATGGCCAGCCTGCAGTCCAGATCTTTCACCCATAGAAAACATTTGGCGCATCATAAAGAGGAAGATGCAACAAAGAAGACCTAAGACAGTTGAGCAGCTAGAAGCCTTTATTAGACAAGAATGGGACAACATTCCTATTCCTAAACTTGAGCAACTTGTCTCCTCAGTCCCCAGACGTTTGCAGACTGTTATTAAAAGAAGAGGGGATGCCACACAGTGGTAAAAATGGCCTTGTCCCAACTTTTTTGAGATGTGTTGATGCCATGAAATTTAAAATCAACTTATTTTTCCCTTAAAAATATGCATTTTCTCAGTTTAAACATTTGATATGTCATCTATGTTGTATTCTAAATATAATATTGAAATTTGAAACTTCCACATCATTGCATTCTGTTTTTATTCACAATTTGTACAGTGTCCCAACTTTTATGGAATTGGGTTTGTAGATATTTATTAAATATTTGAGTCGAAATGGTATTATCATGAGAATTAAAGACAACACAAAGTGATACAATAGACCTGAAACGCTAAGCATGGCAATATCCATGAGGAAAACAGTTCATAAATCATAAGCGTGTGTGTGCGTGTGTGTGTGTGTGTGTGTGTGTGTGTGTGTGTGTGTGTGTGTGTGTGCGTGTGCGTGTGTCTTACTCTGAATAACACTGAGGCCAAACAGATGACAGTCCTTCAATCTAAGCAGATCACAGACCTGCACCAACAACTCCTGACACACAGTCTTAACCTGAGAGAGAAGAACAAAGAAAGTAAGAGAGATGACCTTTATTACCGAGAAAAAGGATATAGTGTGTGTTTTTAAGTTGTGGAACAGGTTTAACTTTTCAATGAAATTTTATTCATATTATTTTGATGTCGGTAATAGTACTAAAAAACAGCTTCTCAAACTCAATCAAAACATGAAATTACTCAACAAAAATAGATCTCTATTTTTACAACATTTAATAGTGATCCGGAAGAGCTCAAGATGCTTCTTGTGGGATGCAACATCAGAGCGGGACTCTAAATGACATGTTTAGAGCAGTTGTCTATCAAAAACAATCTTTGTATATGATTAAAAATAAGTGCTACTTTTTATGAAATCATGAGAGAATCTGTGCTTTACGAGCAATCACCAATAGGGTGTGTGTGTCATTAGCCGCGTTTCCACTGCCGGGCTAGGGCTGGGCCAGAGCTAACAGCGAGCCGGGCCGAGCTAGTGGCCTCGGGCCTCAAGCACCGGGCTTGCGTTTCCACTGCCGGGCCAGTAGCCCCACAGCGCTGCCCCAGACCCCACCCCTAACACGCCTTTCAGGATCAAACGTCATAAAACCCAACCCATTTCAGCGGGTATTATGAATTAATTTATTTTTTAAATTAGGAAGATAGCATGTACAGTGGTGGAAATAAGTATTTGACCCCTTGCTGATTTTGCAGGTTTGCCCACTTACAAAGAATGCAACGATCTATAATTTTAATCATATGTACATTCTAACAGTGAAAGACAGAATCCAAAAGAAAATTCCAGAAAATCACATCATATGAATTTATTAAAATTGATAACCATCTAATGAGGAAAAACAAGTATTTGACCCCCTACCAAACAGCATGTTAATATTTTGTAGAAAAGCCATTATTGGCCAGCACAGATGTCAAACGCTTTTTATAGTTGGTGACAAGGTTTGTGCACATTTCGGCAGGGATGTTGGCCCACTCCTCCCTGCAGACAGCCTCCAAATCTTTCAGGTTCCGAGGTTGTCGCCTGGCAACTCGAATTTTAAGCTCCCTCCAAAGATTTTCAATTGGATTCAGGTCTGGAGACTGGCTAGGCCACTCCAGAACCTTGATGTGCTTCTTCTTCAGCCACTCTTTTGTTGCTTTGGCGGTGTGCTTAGGGTCGTTGTCGTGCTGAAACACCCATCCTCGACCCATCTCTCACTGAGGGAAGGAGATGTTGGTCCAGAATTCCACGATACATGGCCCCGTCCATCCTCCCCTCAATACGATGGAGTTGTCCCGTCCCCTTGGCTGAAAAGCACCCCCAAAGCATGATGTTGCCACCACCATGCTTGACGGTAGGGATGGTGTTCTTTGGGTTGTACTCTGTGTTCTTTGCCCTCCAAACACGACGAGTTGAGTTGAGGCCAAAAAGTTCTATTTTGGTCTCATCTGACCACATCACCTTCTTCCAGGCCTCTTCTGAGTCGTCCAGGTGGTGAATGGCGAACTTCATGCGGGCCTGTACATGTTTCTTCTTGAGCAGGATTTCAATCCATGACGGCGTAGTGTGTTACCAACCGTTTCTTTTGTAACTGTGGTCCCAGCTGCCTTCAGTTGATTCATCAGTTCCCCCCTTGTGGTTTTGGGATGATTCCTCACCGTTCGCATGATCAGGGACACCCCACGAGGCGAGATCTTGTGTGGAGGCCCAGACCGAGGGAGGTTGGCGGTGGTGTGGTGCTTCTTCCATTTCCTTATAACTGCACCGACAGTTGATCTTTTCTCTCCAAGTTGCTTTCCGATTCTCTTGTAGCCCATCCCAGCCTTGTGCAGATCGACAATCTTGTCCCTGATGTCCGTAGAAAGCTCTTTGGTCTTGCCCATGGTAGTGAAGTTGGATGCTGGTTGTTTGTGAGTTGACAGGTGTCTTTTATACAGGTAATGAAGTGAGGCAGGTGTATTTGATGTAGATAATTGGTTGGGATTGAGGCTGTGTCTTAAAGAAAGACTAACTGGCTTGTAGGAGCCAGAATACTTGCTGTTTGGTAGGGGGTCAAATACTTGTTTTTCCTCATCAGATGGTTATCAATTTTTATAAATTTATATGATGTGATTTTCTGGAATTTTCTTTGGGATTCTGTCTTTCACTGTTAGAATGTACATATGATTAAAATTGTAGATTGTTGCATTCTTTGTAAGTGGGCAAACCTGCAAAATCAGCAAGGGTTCAAATACTTATTTCCCCCACTGTATATTAACTCAACTGCCGTAGTGGCTTCAATAGTGTCCCGAGACCAGTACAGGCGATTCTCCATTTCAAGCAGCGATTTTTTGCGCGATATAACAAGTAGGGCTGCGGGCACGTTTTCAAGTTATTCATTAATCGTTAACCGAGGCCCATCGGTTAATACTCGGTGCATAGTGTGCGCGCCGCAACCTCGAGATACAGAGTAAATTTTTAATACCTTTAATAACTGATTGGACCCATGCATTTGAAACGAAATTAATTTATAGAAATAAAATGCAGCAAGTACGGAGCAGTTAAAGCCGCATTTCCATCACCCTTCAAACTGAAATTGCCAATTGAAAATAAGCAAAACGTCCATTTCACAAAAACTCTTGAGTTAGTGTCTGCAAATAATAATAATAATAATAATAACCATCATCATCATTATTGTAACATTTTATTAGGCTGCATAGCCTATGTAGAAGACGTCTTTATCCAAAAAAGGAACAGAGCACAAATAAACACAATATTTTTGACAAATATCATCCAGTGTGTGTGGAGCACGCACTGATGGCTGCGAGACGCCCATGTGATTTCATTGCATTTCTTTCAGTGGAAACAACTTAAAATACTCTTTAATTTCTGGTCATACAGAAAATAATAATACATTATTCGCAAATAAATTTATTTATAACAAGAAAACGTTGTGCTTTAACAATTAATCAAGGCGCGCTTCATGATCTCCGTGAACTGAAGCGCGAGACCTGAAACAGCCACCGCATTCGAATTTGTTCGTTTTAAATTGGACATTTAAAGCTTTAGTCTACAGGGTTATATCCTTTGTAGATTAAAGCTTTAAATGTCCAATTTAAAACGAACAAATTCGAATCGAAAGCCAATATCTTCTATGTTTATGTAGCTTAATTTCTCTCTAAATGTGCATCCGGAGATGGAGATATGTTTTTAGCCGAAAATCATTTAGAAAACAATAGTTTATTAATAAACAATTAATGCCTCGTTATTTTATATTATTTTATTATCAGACACATTTATTATAGCCTATAAATCACCCATAAATCCCCTTTCTGTAGGCTGTGGTTACGGCTCTTCTCATTCAGCACTGCGGGGAAAATATCATTTCCAGGTTCTAATTTGGCCTCAGAAAACCAGTAATATATATATTTTTTTCATATTAATTTGTCAAATATTTTAAATGTTTAAGGGGCAAAAAAATCAAACAAATATCTGAAAATTCGTCGATATGTAGCCTATATATTTTTGCGCAGATTTTGGCATAGGCCTACAGTTCAAATTAAAATGTTATGCAATTTTAAACGGTTAATCGGTTAAACATGGACACCCCTGTGCATCTTGCTTCAGATAACCTTCTATAACACCGATAAACTCCGCCTTTTACCTTGAACACGCCTCTAGCCCGAGCTGGCCCCCTCTGGCCCAAGGTATTCGACGGGCCAGAAATCCTGGCCGTTGGCCCTGAGGAAGCCCCGATCAAGCCCCGGAAGTGACAGTGGAAACGCGACTGGCCCTGGCACGCACTAGCACGGCCCGGCCCTGGCCCGGCAGTGGAAACGCGGCTATTGAGTGCATGGAATTGTACTTACACTGACTATTACATTGAGTGTTTCATCATTCGGGAGGAACACACACACACACCGGCGGTCCTGCATCGTCTTGTTATTGTGGAAAGACAGTTTGCTCATGTTTGAGAGGCTGCAGCCTGTAGATTCGTGCCCCTCACTGGAGCTCCACCCCTGAGCACCTCCCAGTCACAACGGGATCAGATAATTGAGATGCACACATAAAAAAAAAAAAAAAAAAAAAGATCCACACGCACGATCCTGTGACCAGAGAACTTAAACCACACAACTGTTTTAAAACAACAGTTTCTCCTGCATCAACACACAGCAGATCCACCGTCAGAATCTGAAACAGATAGAAAGACAAAAATAAATGATTTTAACAGGAGCACAACCAGAAACATCATGCATACTGGCAGGCAGCTCTCCAAATATTTCACCAAAACATCACGCAGCTATAATTTACAGGATCTTGAAGGGAGCACATAAGACGAGATAAATCTCTTTATTCACAAAACAGAAAACAAGGAAAGCTGGAGAGTTGTGTGTACATTCCACATGACAAAACTCACATTCTGTACTCTGCATTTATATCTGTGTAGAAAATATAGTGCACTACAAATGACACTTCTTTGTCATTTTATTGCTAATTTTGAGCATTAAAGCATCTTTTGTCAAGTATAATGTACTGTCAGCTAGTCATAAAGCTTATAAACATTAAAGTTACTGTCCATGATAACTGTACAAATAGAGATCCCTCTTAACACTGCTGCTATGAAATAAACGCACAGACATGTAATATTGATAAGTGTTGAAATTATTTCATTTTCTCTTTTTGTAGATTAAACAGATTCTGCATAACACAGCAAACGACATTAGATATTACTGATCTGTCAGCACTGACACTATGTGACAAGATGATGTCATCACTGTTTTCTGCAGAGCTGCTTTATAGCAGAATTGGGCTAATTTAATAATTGATGATCTTTACAATGGAACTGAACTGACTTCAGCTGAACAATGACACTTTTTTTCTTTTTAGAGCTGCATTACAGTCGAATTGAACGATGTTTGCATTATTGAATCATTATTTGACTGATCACAGTAAAAGCTTCTTTGAAACAATCTGTATGAACGCTATAAAATAAAGGTGACTTGACAAACACGAATGAGCCAAAATATTGTTATTCATCACGCCAAGTTACTTTTTTCAACAGTCTAGTTTCTAGAGTAGTTTTGCGTTTTAAGTTCTCACCTGATGTCACAAACTTAAACTCGTGTTCGGATTCAACGACTCTCTCAGTGATTTTAGATATTGGGACAGAACATCTGCCTAGACAGACACGAAACACGAGAAGACTGTCATCTCACTATCTCTGTCTCCATCAGTCTCTGTGATATGAGCACATCTCAAATTACTACTAATGTGCCATATCAAATTTAAAGGAGTATTACATGTTATTTTTAAACATTTTTCCTCAGTTTATATAAACTAACATTTGCAGAAATATACTTAAAGGATTAGTTCACTTTAAAACAACTTTTGCTGATAATTTACTCACCCCCACGTCATCCAACAAGATGTCCATGTCTTTCTTTCTTCAGTCGAAAGGAAATTACATCAAAAACATTGCAAGATTTTTCTCCATTTAATGGACCCCAACCGTTTCAAGGTCCAAATAAGAGTTTCAGTGCAGCTTCAAAGGACTTTAAACAACACCAGACGAAGAATAAGGGTCTTATCAAGCGAAAGGATCGGTCATTTAAAAAATAAATAAAAAAGTTTAAGTTTTATAAGCACAAATGCTCGCCTTGCTCTGTTCTGTGATGCATGTTTGTGACTCTCCTGTTCATCAAAATGAACGAATCTTTTTCGAGTCATTTCGTTAATTTCCTTCGTTGAATGAACCAAATGACTTGAAGAAAGATGTATTCATTTTGATGAACGAGTTCGAACAGGAGAAAGACCTTTGAAGCTGCACTGAAACGGTCATTTGGACCTTGAACCGTTTGGTTCCCATTAAAGTGCATCATATGGAGAAAAATCCTGGAATGTTTTCATCACAAACTTTAATTTCTTTTCGACTGAAGAAAGAAAGACATGGACATCTTGGATGACATGGGGTGAGTAAATTATCAGCAAAAGTGTTTTTTTTTAAGTGAACTACTCCTCTAAGATCAAGTTGACATATGTTTGAATGCAAGCATAACGTATTAAGAATAGATTGCCTTAAACCTCACTCTATGAAATAGACCAAAAATAAAAATCAACTTAATGGAAGCCAGTTTAGTCCAGGTTTTAGTTTTACAACAGAATAAATAACTTCAAACATTACTTCAAATGTGGATTTAAAATATTTTCTTTAATAAAGTTTTGTTTTTTCCTCAAGTATGCTGTCATTATTGCCCCACTAATTTATATTATAAAAACGGTTAGTTCGAATCCTTGATTCTGATTGGTCAAGAGCTGTGCATTACTCATGATAAAACACGCCAATGACCACTTCACCCAACGGTTCTATTGATCACTGCGCAACACTGCGGGTCTGTGTTGTTTTTATTTGAGCTTTCATGCATTTTACACATTGGAACGTTGTTGCTGTTCACGCTCAGGGACTATTTTTTTAAGCGGAAGGAAGACTTTTAGTGATTTTACTTCAAGAAAGTTGCACTAATACATTGTTTTTTACTTTAATATTGTGTGGCAACCGTTTTATAAAAGCAATAAGGTACTCGAGGCAAGTGCTGTATCGTGAATCGCGTAACAACGTCCTTAAAATATTCTTTGTAGTTGTGGAACTGCATACACAACAATGACATTCTCAGCTCTCTTGGCTGGACTTTATTAAAGTTTTTTCTATTGTAATAATAAAATAAAAAAAGTATTTTAAAAAAACGGCAACATGCAAAATGGCGTAGCGAGAAGACCTTGCATGAGAGAGAGACAGAGAGAAAAGGAAAATGTGCAGAAGTCAGGAGAATTCCACCCAACATCTGCTTCTCATTCCAACAATAGAGGCCTTTGATTCCTCTCTCTCTCACTCACTCACTCACACACACACTCTGCTGCACTTCAGATGTGTAATGTTCATATGCATACATCAGATGACAATGACGTGGATTTTGGCTTTTCATATTATGGTTACGAGTTCATAAGGGATCAACTTTAACAGTTTTCTAGAAACATTGCATGCACAGTTGAAACTAAGCAGGGCAAACGGCTCAATAATGGCCATTTAAATCCTATAATATATGACGTGACTGATTAAAGTTAAATTTTGAGGCCATTTTAATCTGGCATTGCTGAGTAGGATGAAAACAGAATGGAAGAGAGGATTGCATGATTCCACAATTTGTCAGGATGTGTGACGTTATGCGTGACGTTATGTGCGGCATTTCTTTGCTGAAAAGGAAGGAGAAACTTCCTGGATTTTCTTTTTGAGACTAATAAAACCCACATATGTATAAAGGTTCCCGTCACAGACTGTTATAATTTGCTACAGTATTACGGTCTATGTTACGCCTGTCATCCCTGTCATCCTGCTTTAACAGCTCGTTTTGCCTCAAGGGATCAAATCTTACCTTATCTTAAAAAACGACTGCTGAAGTGCTGGGCTTTAGCTTTTACAAGCAGTCTTACATCATCCACTGAGCCTTTACCTCTTGGAAACAGACAGAAAACCCCGATAGCAAAGTGAAGGAAAATTTACTAAGAAACATCTAGCAAAAAACAAAGCAACTAAGCAAGCTTGGAAGAATGAGTGGTAAGGAAATGCCACCGATAGGTGGAATCCACATGTCCAGACCTGCTCAGACACGGTTGGTCCACAGTTATTTAGTGTGATTCTAATCCCAGACACATTCCCCTTTTCCCATGCACTGAACTCTTTCTTCATGCCACAGTAGAAGACACAACCAGAGGAGTAGTTGGTCTTACATCATCGGAATCTGTACACCTGTTATTAAATTCATTGTATAAAAATCATTGAGGAAAGCAGATATGTTCTACTTAAACATAACACAAAAGATACGGAAAGTCTTTGAAAAGGAGGGTTTAAAAATCACAGTCCAAAATAATAAAGGAGTAAAAAAGGAATCAGGAGTCAGTCAATTAAACCAGTGTAAACAGTCCAACTTGTGGTCATTTGATGTTTTTATGCCAACTATGATACAGCTTTAAAACTGTTATTACTTATAGGGTGAATTCAGGTTGATAATTTGGGACACTTTTTGCCATTGGGAATATGTTTTAAATATGTAATGTGTTTTGCAATAATCCAGCTTCTAAATTAAATTTATGGCAAATAAAATAAAAGTAAAACTGAACAGATAGGCTATAGAATTTTTATTTATTCATTTTTTTTTTTTTTTTACTGTGCTTTGTAACTAACTATACAAAGATTTTGTTATGCAGCCTATTTTTATAATATAACAGTAGGCCTACGCAGTAAAAAAAAAAAAAATCATAAGAATAAAAATTAAAACTGAAAATGAATGAAGGTGATAATTAAAAATATTGTGCATATTTTATTAAGAAATTGTGGTTTAGTGTTTTATTGAAAATACTGAGAACAATTCACTAATAAAACCAAGAGATAAATTTTCCTAATTTGTTTAAGGAAACATACACAGTTTTGAGGCTTGAATTGAGGAACTGATAAAGCTGATAAAATTAAGGGGGAAAAGGCTACCTATTTATTTTTAAGAGAATTATCTCAATTATGCGGTTTTATTTAGACACCATTGTTAGTTCCGTGCTTTTGCACATGGCTGGAAATGGAGAGTAAATATTGAAATTAAGTTTTATTTAATGTGTTTTTGAGAAAAGGGAAACATCTGTTAATGTTTAATGTTCAGTTAGGTTTGACATTTGAAAGTTTCTATTATGTTAAAGTTTTGATGGTAACCATTGTGCAGAAGAGTGGGGCTTATAGTTAGGTTGTGAATAACTGCATGTATTAATACTCTGAAGCATGATGCTTTATTCATTGAGCAATAACTTTGCTAATGATAGTGCAGTAACAAGTTTGTTGCTGTGCTAGCAGCAGTCTTTTATTAATATAACTCAGTCAAATAAAAACAGATCTCATTCACTTGTGTATTCACACAATTTTGATGAGAATAAAGGACACTTAAATTAAACAATCATACTTGACAAAAAAATATTAAATTCATTATGTCATAGACTAAATATATTTTCATTGAATAATTATT